ACACAATTGAAACAACTGAACAATAACAACAAATGTACATCTATTAGAGGCAGCATGATGTGTTTGATGAAGAGCTGGCCTCAAACCAAGAAGATCCGAGTTCAAGTCTCACCTCTAACATATATCAGCTATTTGACCCTGGGTAAGTCACTGAACCTCTTAATGCTCTAGCTCAATGGTGTCAAAACTCAAATAGAAATGGGGGCCACCAGTCCATCCATAAGGATCTTTTTAAGACTGCTTAGTTTTAAAATATAATATTATCTGTATTTTATTGTATTTTTATTTATTTCCTAAATATTTCCCATCTGCATTGTAATCTGTTTTGGCAGACTGTGGCACCTAACCCATACGTTAGACACCTCTGTTCCAGACAACTTGGACTATCAATTTCAGAGAAGGTGTTGACCTGTGCAGATCCAGTACCTATCCCTTTATAGGAATATCAGTAGTATCAGAATCAGGATATAAGAAGCACATTCGACTAGCAATTCATCCTAAACAAGGACTACATTTTCTTTGCGTTCATATAAAAGCAATTTCAAAAAGACATTTATTGACAAGAAAAAAAACTCATGATTAATAGAGTAGTAAATTTATTCCCAGAAGGAAAAAGAAGTGGATTCTATAAAAAAGAATTATAGACTGGATGCCTGGTGACCTGGATGCCTGAGCTGTCTCTTGGTCACATGACTTGCCCTTTATTTTCTCACTTGTAAAATGAAAATAAATATCTTTGCTCCTTCCCATGTCTTAAGGATGTTGGGTAGCTTGAGTGAGGTTACATCCATGAAACTGCTTCAGTGGAAGTCAGTCCTAATTCTGAAAAGAGCGTATTTTCCTATCAACCAATTACTGCTAGGCTGTTAATGTCTGAGCTGCTAGTGATTTCACCTTAATATGAAATAAACACAGCAATTGGACAGTTTCTAAACTCTCATTCTAATACCTCTAATACTGTTGATACCAGCTTCTTGACAGTCACTGCTTCTGATTGATTACCTTTACATATGGTGTTCTGCATAAATAATCCTCACTAAAGAAATTCCCTAACTAAGGGGCTTTTTTTGGCTTGTATGTCCAAAGCATTCCCGAGGCAGTGCACTCCTCAAAGAGTTAGCACAAATGTTGGCGTGCATTTGGCTTACGGAGAGAAGATGCATCCTGCTGCTCCATGCCAGGGCGATGCTTCAGTACCAGTGCAGAGTCACACGTGGGCAGAGATGGTGGGTGAGGCACAGGGTGTGTCAGCAAATTAAATCAGAGAGCCTGCTCTTCCTGGATTGTCTGTCTTCTAGACGTCCCCTAATAGAGCCTTTGCTCTGCAGCTGTTTCTAAAATAGGGCAGAAGAACTCATTTTTTGACAAGATCTGTGTTCACCAGTAGCTAGGCAGTGATTCTACCCTTTTAAGGGAGACTGAATGAGGAAGTCTTTATGGGACATTGCTAGAGCCCTCTAAAATAAGAAGGGGAGAAGCAGGCAGATCATAAGCATCTCACATGGGACCCAAAATCCAGAGGGGAAGGAACGTGAGATGTCATCTAGTTCAACCCTCTTTATTTGACATATGAGGAAACTGAGGCCTAAAGAGATTAAGAGCCTGGACCAGGGACACATAGATAGGAAGTGTCAGAGGTGAGATCTGAACCCAGTCCTTTGACTAAAGAGTCAAGGTTCTTTTCCCTGTAGCAAACAATGAGGTTCCCTGTTGTATTTCCCCTAACTTGTGTGTGATCCTTATCCCTTGATGCCAATGTGAGAATACTGATGCAAGCAACTGCGGGTAGGATTCAATGATTATCCTCTGAGATGGCTTTCCTCATTCCCTCTTTGTTAGCTTCCCTCTCCAAATCGCCGATTTGTTTTGTATCTCCTAGACTAGTATACTTATCTATAAATATACTGTAACCTCTTAGTAGAATGTATGTTCCTAGAGAGCAGGGATTATCTCATTTTTATATTTTTACCCTCAGTGCCTAACACAGTGCTGGGTAGAAAGTAAGCACTTAATAAATGAGTATTAATTGACATTCTGATGCTTTTTTTTTTCCATTTAAAAATGTTAAAAACTACCTACACCTGGGCCTTGTCTAATTATGTACCTGATCCTCTCACCTGTGGCTCCAAGATGCTGTAGCGTGCACATTGGTCACATCCTGGTAAACCATCTCAGCAGATGGGCTAAACCAGGTTAAGGGTAACCCAATAGACCTCAACCCTGTTGGAGAGTTAGGGAGGTGTCTACCCTAAGCATGTGATGATTTCCCCCAGTGGAATGGGCAGATGAGAACAATTTGTTCCAATGGCCATAAAGGCAGCAGAAGCAGGTGCTGTAGAGCGCTTAGAGCTTGGTCAGACGTTGAAGACACCAAGGTCATCCACTGCATCCCAGGTTATCGTCCTGCCACTGGACTTTGATGGTTCAGTAGGAGACAGTGAAGCTGATGACTTTGTGTAACTCTGCTTCACTGAAATCTAATTCACATACGGGTCAAGACATCACCCCATATCATTGGTCCTCTTTGAAATGAAGGACAAACAATGATATTGATAATGACTTTATTTGCATTCTGGCAAAGATGCTCCAGAACAGAACCACAGTCTTCTGGGAGATCAATCTACCAATCAACAAGAATTTTAAACAGCTTCTGTGAACCAAGCACTATGCTGGGCACTGGATATAAAGACAAAAATGAAATGTCCTCACCCTTAAGGAGCTTACATCCTAACAGAATATAAGAACATAGGAGATGTTGGGAGCCCAGGATACAATCCTGGGGAGCCCAGGCTTTCTGAAATGACCCACGTGTTTTAATCTCTTATGCTCAAGAGATTTACATTTTGCAAAATGGTGGCTGGCTTGTCTCTCCTTTTTGTCTTAGCTGACACCATAACCCTTTCAAGACATAATTAGAAATAAATATATAAAGACTGTATTTCAGAATGGGCTCTATGAGAGGACATGAACACTTCAGATCCCCTGGCTTTCTGTAGTCTCTTAATATGCTACAATGAAAAAAAAATGATATATAGTAAAATTAGATGTATCTAGGAGAATCATAACAGAACAATCCTGAATGAATGAATGAATTTATAGAATGAATGAATGAATGACTAAATTACCACTCCCCTCCATCCTTGGTTTCTGACTGACTGACTGACTAGACTCACTAAGCCCAATATTTAAACCAAGGATAATTTTGATAATTTTTTCAGGGTAAGAAAAGTGAAGAAAACATTATTGGTCTGTGTCCATGGCTTGTCCCTTCCTCTGTCCCTCACCTCAGCATCCCACTGGCATCACCTTCCAGATGCTTTAGAATCCCTAGGCTCTGCACAGGGGCCTGGCACCATTGACATTTGCTCAATTTCTTTTTCGAACCTGGGCAGAGATGAAGTCAGGAAACAAGACTTGGCATTGCTTAAGTCAAGTTCTTAGGCACTTAGGAATTTGTTTCAGGAGGGAGTCTTATTCCCATAAAGGGTAGGAGCTAGCCTACAGTCTGAAATTTAACATTCAGCATGTTACCATTCACTAAAATTAGCAAAAATACTTGTAGAAATGTCTTATTTATCCATCCCTTCCTCTCCATTCCCATATCCCTTTATGCTTGGATTGTGTCATTAATCTCTTGGTTACAGCCAAATATACTCTGTATGAACCACATAATTATGAGTTAGCTTCTATTGTTCTCTGTTTAATGTGTGTTAATTTTGTCTCCTTCACTAGATTACAAATTCTCTGAGGGCAGGGATCTGTGATTTACATTTTTCTATTCCCACAACCCTTAATGCTCTGCACACAAAAAATACTTATTAAATGTTAGTTGATGGATTCAATAATTAAGGTGTACTGTTTTGTTGTTGTTTTAGTCATCTTTAGTCATGTCTGACTCTTCATGATCTCTGTTGGGGTTTTCTTGGCAAAGATATTGGAGTGGTTTGCCATTTCCTTCTCCAGCTTTTTTTTCTTAAACAAATGAGGAAACTGAAGCGAACAGAGTTAAGTGACTTGCCCAGGGTCACCCAGCTAGTAAGTGCCCAAGACTGGACTTGAACTCAGGTCTTCCTGACTTCAGGCCTGGTACTCTATCCCAGTGCCACCTAGCTTCCCCCAAAAATAATAAAATAAAACTACATTGCTTTCTCTGAGAATCAAGCTTAGGACCTTCAGATTATGAGACTCATGTGCTGCACTACTGACCTAAGGCTTTCATTGTTGTTTAGTCACATCTGATTCTTTGTGACCTCATTTGGGGTTTTCTTGATGAAGATAATAGAGTGGCTTGCCATTTCCTTCAGCCCATTTTACAGATGAGGAAACTGAGGCAAACAGGATGAAGTGACATGCCCAGGGTCACACAGTATCTGAGGACAAATTTGAACTCATGAAGGTAAGTTTTCCTGACTCTAGGCTTGGTGCTCTACCCACTGCACCACCCAGCTATTCACCCTAATGTGCTAGTACTAATAATTATGGCTGACATTTAGAGAACACTTTAAAGTTTGGAAAACACTTTATATACACTTCCTCACTGGTACCTCGCAATAAGTCTATCAAGTTTAGATTACAGGTTATTATTATCCCTATTTTACAAATAAGGAAAGTGAGGTAGAGAGCAATTAAGAGCTTTGTCTGTTAGCCACACAGCTAATAATAGTGGAAGCATTTGAGCCCAAACGATCCTATCATTCTGTCTTCAAGTCCAGCCCTCTATATTGTACCATGCAGATAGGTGCAAAGTCAACAAATGGGTAAAGGAATACCCTGATGTTCCTGAAGGAATTACATGAGTTTCTTGTTCAGACCCCCAGAATGCTTCTGAAGGTGTGTGCATTACATAAATGGATGTGTACTTGTGTCTTTTGTACAAGTGCCATTTTATTTAGGGATAAAAGCATGGACTGCGTATGGCATATACAAAGTATTTTTAAATGTCATAAAATTGTGGAGAATTGACATCACTTTCATTCTCAAGATATTTAAATTCCACTTAC